GCTGTGACCACTGTGCCTGCTCTCCCCGCAGCCTCCCCGTGGTCTACCTGTTCCAGCTCGATGCCCCCCCGGCAGCAGCTGGTGTACAGACAGCAGCTGCCTTTCCAGCACCGAGTGTGGGACGTGGCGTTCGAGGAGGGCCAGGGGCTGTGGGTCCTGCAGGACTGCCGCGAGGAGCCCCTCGTGCTCTGCAGGCCTGTGGGCGGCCAGTGGCAGGTGAGACGTGCTGGGCCCCTGCTGTCCCCTAAGCCGGGGGTGGGGTGACAGCTGTGGCCCTTCCAGCCTGGTCACGTTGGTGCCGGAGGCTGCGACCTGTTGGGCAGTGGCCGTGGGGCTTGTGCCGTGGGTGCAGGCAGCTGGGGTGCCGGGCCAGGTTCTCAGCGTCTTGATGCCCGCAGTGGGGAATTGCCATCATGAGCCTGTTTCCCCTGTGATTCCTGGTCACACGTCTTTTAAGGACAGATGCCCACGTCGGTGAGCCTTGGGGGTGTGTCCTTAACATCTGCAGGCTCAGCACCGCCTCGCCCTGGGGCAGCGGTCCTGCTGGACACCGAGGGGGCCACCCTCGCAGGTGGCCTGGATGAGCCGGGCGTAGAGCGGGGCCAGGCGTGTCTCGGGGCGCCGTGGAGGGGCAGGTGGAGCTCACGGAGCCGTCTGCAGACTGGCGCGTCCCGACGAGCCCTCGGCGGCTGAGCGCCCTGCAGCTGCCCGACTGCTCATTCAGGCACTTTGATCTGAAGAGGAGCGGTGAGCGGGCACCACCGCCGGGGCTGCTCATGGTCCGGACTCCCTGCACGGTCACCCGCGATGAGCACTGGTGCCCTGCGTTTCCTCACGATGGGGTGGGGGTACTGCTGGGTTTCCTGGGCCAGAGTGAACGTGCCTGTGCGGCTGGTCTTCACGCAGAGCTTTCTGGGGCGTCTCCAGGTGCAGAGGGCAGGCTCCCCCTGGCAGAGCCGCCCGTTCTTGGCCGCAGCACCGGGGGCCGGCCCTCCCTCTTCTGACGAAGGTTTCCTTCCATCTCCTCAGGGTGTTCCTGAAAGTGCCGTGGTGAGGAGAGTCTCCGCTCACCTCCGTGGGAACTGGGCTGCGCTGGAAGGTGAGGGCGCCTGCCTGCCTTCAGGGTGGCGTCCAGCCGCGGGCGCGGCTGTGGAACACGGTGCCCGGCGGGCAGGAAGCCATCTCTGCGAGGGGGGTCATGGGTGGGTGGGGCACCGAGGTGGAGACCCAGCACAGACACTGGGTGTGAGTCCTCATCAGGGCGACTGCGCTGCCCGGGGACGGGGTCAGAGCCACGCGCCGCGGTCAGCTGCAAGGCCCGGGGGAGCCGTGCTGTCGGCCCCATTAGAGGACAGTAAATGCTGAGACCCCCGCCTTTGTGGGTAGAAGGCAGACTCTTAGACACGGGGCTTCTCTTGGGCCCAGGCTTGAAGCAAGTGTCTTGGGGACTGTGTTAGGTCAGCACTGGAGTTCAGGTGCCTTCATGCAAAGAAAGAAATCATTGCTCAGGCAACGTCGTGCGAAGACAGACAGGCCTCCAGTGGGACGTCGTTCCCTGGAGCTCTGGGGGAGACAAACGTAGTTTCTGTCTATGCAGGGGCGGTGTGCGGCCCCTCGTGGGACTCGTGGGCTCTGTGCCCCACAGGTAGCGCCCACCCTCCGTCCTCCTGGGATCAGGGGGCTGCAGTGGTAGCAGGAGTGTCTGGACCTCCCCAGGGTGGGAGCGACACGCAGGGCCGGCCTGGGCCTGGCCTCAATGTCCTAAGAGCTTCTGCAGATCAGTGAGCCTGTTGCCACGGATGTGGAGAAGGAGGCGGGGTCGGGGGGGTGCCCCGGGGTGGGGTGCCCCATGGGAAAGAGAAGCTGACCTTGAAAACCACGAAGGGCAGAAGAGTTGGAGGGACCCTGGAGGGCGCGGGCAGGAGGGCGCGGCGGTGTTGG